TTGGTCCAAAAAACCTGAAAGGAGTGACCTTGTAGGAGGAATCGTGGTAAGAACTCCTCTTACTCATGTTCTAAGAAGTTACTCGATTCGAGTTAATGCCATAGACAGAGTTTGCCTCGATAGATATTCTATTAGGTTGCTTATAGCCCCAAAAAAAGGTTTGGGAGCTTGTAGCTAATATGACGAGATATATAAGCCTAAGCAAAGTCCATCTTTTCTTTTCTTTCCCTTACCAGAGCCTTGTTGCCCATATAGCTTTAGGTCTACTTGGGTAGTCCAAAAGACTCCAAAATAGGCGAAGGCTCAAGTTCAGGGGTCTATTCTGGAGACCTAAAAATTAGCGCCTCGTTCGCTGTTTCTATCCCAAAATAGGCGGCTAGGCCGTCGTTTTTTGATGGGTTGGAAACTTCCATTCCAACTTCAGCTTCCTACCTGCTCATACCTCCTGACCTTCAAGGCACCAAGCTCGGCAAAATAAGATTTTGGAGATGTGATAGTGAAAATTTGGTGAGGTTCAGGTTGGTTTTTCACAATGATCTTGAGCTCTGCTTTCAAATCGCTTTCCAAAGGGGAGCATTCAACACTAAGATTGAGTGTGGTGGAGTGTTCACCACTAAGTGTGTCAGAAGCTAATCCCCAAACTTTCTATTGTTGGCCAACATGGGGCTAAAAAATTCGTTGGGGATGGGCAGGTAGGCATTAAAACGACCTTGCTTTAATTGTCACCCCTTTTTCGAATACTTGGCTTCTCTTGAGCTAGCTCCTTAGCTTGTTCCAGATCAAGAAATTGTGTTTGGATGAATTTAGCAAGTTTAGCTTCCAATTGAGCGAGCTTAGATTCTAAGAAATCTTTGGAGCATACCAGATCCCCAAGTGAGGGTAGGAACCCATGTTGAGTCTATTTGGCATCACATTCTTGATATCATAGTCTCGCCTCATGAAGAGTCTCAGAAATACCTTGTTCGAAGTGAACAAGATAATTCTTCGACTTGTAATTCTCCCACGGGGAAGGAATTCATTCATGAAAGCTTGAGGGAACGTGTCCCAGGATTGGAACGAGCTACGAGGTTGTTCATCTTGCCAGGTTCTCGCCTCCCATTCTACAAAGTAGATGAAGAGACATATTCATGTCTAATGTGACTCATTTTGAAGTAGGGGTTTGAAATCATAAATCATCTGGAACTTTTTGACGTGATTGTTACGATTTTGATAGATGTTTCCCTCAGAAATCCCAGCATCTTCAATTTGTGAATCAAGACCTATTTTACCTTGAGTAAGGTATCAACGAGGATCCGAGGGACTGAGCCACGTCTTGGATTACGAGGTCTTTCATGCTCGTACGTGTAATAGGCACCCATGCTCTGGTTGCTTAGGTGAAGAGTAACTTTGATTCAAGTGAATCAGAAGTGCTACTACGTAGAATCAGGTTGGGATGCATGAATTGTGAAGAGCAACTGCTGTCAGAATTGGCACCTCGCCCGCCGAATTTTGCATCGAAAAGGCGCCTTGGAGTGCCAAAAATAGAAGGATTTTGGCAGTTCTAGCCGCCGAAATTTGAGGAATTTCCGCTGCCCCGAACGTCGATTTTTGGTAGAAAATAGGCGCTAAAGCCGCCATTTTGTTAAAGAAATAAAATCACTCACGCAACGCACAGAAAAAAATACGAAAAAATAAAAATTGAAATACCAAAAATAAATACTCACAAACCTAAATGAAAAAGAACACACACAACCACAAATGAAAAAAAGAGAAAAAGATAGAATTCTTACCTGGTTCTCTTCCGACAATTGCGACTCCCCGACAACGGCGCTAAAATTTGATGTCATTTGTTACGAGTGTCAAATATATTTGGTCCGAAGGCTAGGATTGTATTTCCTTAGAGCCTCTAGCACTTCATATATTAAAAGGGAGCAAAGCCCTTTTTAGACCGGGATGAGCTAGCGTGGTTATTTAATTTTTACTAATCACGGTGGCTACTTTAATCTACACCATTTATTATCTCTATTTTACCATATTTTTAAATTAATGATTAAGGGTAATTTGGAAATGAAAAAAATTCAACACCTAATTACAATACTCAAACCCTAACCCTACTGCAACTCATCTCCCTCACCGTCGTTCCTCTTCCCTCCCAGACTTCCTCCCTCCGCCTCACCCCACCCGCCACTTACCACCATCCATCCTCCCTCCCCACAACCTCCGTCGTTCTCCTCCATCCCTAGCATGCCTCTCTCTCTCTCTCTCTCTCTCTCTCTCTCTCTCTCTCTCTCTCATAGCGGTCACATGCTGCCATTGTCAGTCAGCCTCCCCTCCGCCGCCATCCTCCCTGCCCCTCCCCCTCCCTCCGTCGCTCGCATTATCTCCCCTTCCTCTCTCTCTCTCTCTCTCTCTCTCTCTCTCTCTATAGGAGAAGCTCTGGATCTGAGTTTTTATTGCTTTGGTACTGGTTTATTTATTTTGTTTTATGAAATGGTATAGATTAATTTTTCATAATGGTATTGATTTATTTCTGCAATGATATTGTTTTGACTTCATAGTAGTAGTGGTATTGTTTGATTTTTGAATTGATTTGACTTTTGTAATGGCATAGATTGTTTATATTGGTGGTTTTAGTATAATGATATTTTTTTCATAATTGTATTGATTTATTTCGGCGATGGTATTGCTGTTTTTCAAAATGGTAGTGGTTGTTTAACAGATTAGGATTGATTTATTTGTATTAGCATTTTCCGAAATGGTAGTGGTTGTCTAACAGATTGATAATGATTCTTGTTTTATATTTGCAGTGTTATTATTTCGATTGAACGAAGACAAGGAAAAAAATTGAGAAAAAGAAGATAGAGAGATCTGGCTGGAGATTGTGGAAGTGAGAGAAAAAGAGAGAAAATTGTAAGTAATGTATTTTGGTAACTTCCTAAAATAATTTATTAAAAAAGGTAATTAATAAATTTTTTGTCATACTCAATTTTCCCTTAATAACCATGGTGATTACTAAGAAATAGTAATAACAGTGACTTGTCCCTTTTAGACCTTTTACTCAGGCGGCGAGATTAGGCTTGGCAACGGGGCAGATTGGGGCCGGGTACCCTCTATCATTTCCCCGCCCACGATGGCCTTCGGGTTTCCCCGGCCCAAACGGATTTCCGGGCCTGCTAGTATGACCAGCCCCGGTACCGCTGGGTTTTCGGGTACCCACGGGTCTGCAAAATCCGCAACAATACCAACAAAAATGACAAAGTAAAATGGAAAAAAACCTGAACATCTCCTTTTATTATCAATAAATGATAGGTATGAAAGACTGAAGTTTGAAATAGACAACAACAACATTCGAAATTTGAAAGTTGAGATCAACAATCAAGTGCAACATCAAATCATCCGAACTGAAATCAACAAAAGAGAATCCATTCTCAGTAGTCTGATTGGTGAGTTTTATTCAAAGCAAGAACAACTATGCTAAACAAAGATCCAAGCCATTAGCCATCCTAACTATTGAGATCAATTCCAATAGCAGCCTTCCTTCGAGCTATATGAACCAATCAAGCCATTAGCCATCTTACTCAAGAGCATGTAGCGGCAGTCATCATTCATCAATTGAAATTCTGCACCAACATTCAAGTAAAAAGAGTTCAAGTCCCTAAGCCTAACTAGTAACACCAACAAACTCGAGGTTCTTGCAACAAAAGAGAAGAAGTTTTAAAGTTATTAACTTGGCTGGACAGTAGAGAATGGATCAGTCTTCATGGCCAAATGGTGATCTCAGGAACACCATTTCTGGACCTAAAAACCAGAAAGCAAAACACATAGTTCAACCTATGGCCTCATTGAACAAAATTAGAAATGCACTAATTTTCTTACCCCCCAGGTTCTGCCTCTTCTACAGTTGTATCTTCGACTGACAGTGTTGAGAAGACTCCCTCCAAAGCCTCCACAGCAGCAGCCTCCGAATCTGCAGAAAGGTGTATAAAAATATTATTTACACTTGAACAAAATTAGTTGTACTAGAATTTGGAGATTTAGTTGCATGTTACCTTGTTGCATGTCTTCCATAATCCAACTTCGTGTGCACATCATTGATTCAACAGTGGAATAATGAAGCCTGCTCCGGTGAGGGTCTAACAACCTCCCACCAGAACTGAATGCACTTTCAGAAGCAACAGATGTAATTGGGATTGCCAGAAACTCCCTTTCAATTGCTTGCAAGGTGGGGTACTTGAGACCATTCAGTTTCCACCATAAGAGCATATCAAAGTCTGCTGTCCGTGGAATAATATCCTCAGCAAGATACATATCCAACTCAGTATTAATCAAAGAGCTCTTGCTCTTTGTCCTTTGACTTACAAAGAGCTCAAAGTCAAGTTCAGTAGTCGAGACAGATCCATAACTAGTAGAAGAAGTTCCAGTTTCAGAACCATACTTCTTCTCGGCATTGGTTTGATAATCAAGAATCAAACCACAAATAATCTTCTTGATATTCTAATCAACCAAGTCAGTTTCCATACTCCCAAACTTCCCAACATAGTATTCAATCACATGGAGCTTATATCTAGGATCCAAAACAACCGACACAGCAAGTACAAGATGGATATCATCCCAGTACTTATCAAACTTCTCATACATTTGACTGGCCATTCCAAAAATCACAGGGTTGGGATCAAGACACCACTCATTCAGTTTCAATCTCAAGTCACAAATCTTTGGGAAGAAAAGATTGGCAGTAAGATACTTGGAACCAGAGAATAACTGAGTTATCTCGGAAAATATTTCCAGCTTATCAATCACAACATATGCAAATTCCCAATGAGAACTAGAAGGAACAGATGTGTATTGACTTTCCCTCAAGCTCAAACGAAAGAAAACATCCTTATATTGAAGAGCAACAGAGAGCATATGGTATGTGAAATTCCATCTAGTTGGATATTCAAGTACCAGTTTTTCTCAAATGTCAACTTTAGGTGCTTAACAACTTCGAAGAAGGTTTGAACCCTCTTAGGTGTAGAATTTCAGTAAACTACACTCTCCCTAATCAAATGTATAGCATCTTTGATTGCATCCAAACCATCCCTCACAATCAAGTTCAGAATATGAGCTGAACACCTCATATGAATAAGTTTACCATCAAGCAACAGATCACTGCTCACAAGATTATTCCGCATATGAAATATCATTGAATCATTGGTGGTACAGTTGTCTAGTGTGATTGAGGACAACTTACCAGCAATATTCCAATCAAGAAGTGAATCAAACAACCTATCAGCTAGCCTTTGACTAGTGTGAGGGGCTGGAACATACATAAACCTCAACATTATGTTACGAAGCTTCCAAGAGTTGTCAATAAAGTGACCAGTTACTGCCATATACCCCATTTTCTGATTTGTGGCAGTCCACAAATCAGCAGTCACTGAAATCCTGCCCAAGTTTCCATCAATCATGTTCTGATATTTAGACCTTTCAACCCCATACAGACCCAGAATATCCTTTTTCACCGTGTTTCTACTAGGGACAGCAAATTGAGGTTGAAGAGAACAACAAAAACGTTTGAAACCCACATGATCAACAAGGCTAAGTGGGTACTCATGCACCAGAATCATTGAACAAAATTCCTTCCTAGAAACCTCATTATTGTATTGAGCAGCAGAGAGTTGAGGATTTCCACCAGGTTGATAGTTGGGGCCAAGTATTTTTTGAGAACCATCATGTATCCTCTTCTGGATACATGTTTTGATATGGTTTCTCAGGTTTGAAGTTCCATTACTTGTTTCCCCACCAAGGGGTTTACGACAGTACTTACACCTAGCTTTCATTACCCCATTAATCCTAAATCTGTGGAAGTGAGGCCACACATTAGAGGTTAACTTACGTTGTGCTTCCAGTTCTTCCTCATTACCATTAACCGGATTATTTGGAACAAGATCGGGTTGGACTTGGACACCATTTTCAGGGACATGTTGATCAACATTCATAGCATTAGCAGTAGCACCTTCCATCTAAACATAATCAAGTTATATATCACTGATTAGACATTCATTTTACATTTTTTATTATTTAAATGGACAAGACTTCTACTAACCAGCAAACAAGACATCATTTTCAACAATTTCAGTATTACAGTTGTCTTCTAAGTAAGTTCTTATCATTAGCAAGCAACCCATAGTCACAACAAGTCAAAGCAACACAACAAACACAATGGTTACTGCCTACTGGTTAGGACTTAGAAGAACATGATTACCTTGTCTTTGAGTTTTCCTGAGGACTGTCGAGTACCCAATGACAGTAGACTGATCACTGATGATCACTATCACTCGCTCAGTTGCTCTTCAGAGTTCAGTCCTTCAATACAGATTCAAACGAGTCCAACCTGGCCAAAAAAGAGTGAACAACGAACAAAAACAAAGTTAGAACAGGAGACAAGCATGCATGTCTGTATTAACACCACAAACCCAGGAAAAGTCGACGAGTTCAAGATCCTTACCCAGAAAAGACTTGGACTCTGTCTGGATGCTCGTCGCAATTTCTCTGTCTCTACTCTCTGTGGACTGGGTGTTCTGGGTAGAAATTTAGAGAAGGTGAGGATGGTGACTGGTGAGGAACGACCTCTGAAATCCCCCCTATATATAGCAGTAAGAGAGTCAAGAGTCAGTAGAGAATAGATTTTGATTTGAGGATACAACGAAGATAATCGAAAGAAAAGAAAAAAATCCAGAATTAACTTATCTGTTATCGACGAACAATCAGGGATTTGAACTCCAAACGACTCGTTTTTGGGCTGTGCTCGACGAAATCGATGTCGGAAAGTTGCTCTTCCAGCCATGCAATTGGTCGAATGGAGGAATCAAAGATAGATCATAGTGAAACTAGGAGAGATTCGAGGATTTGGAAGGGAGAAAAGGCAAAAAATCACGATTATCTTGCGATATGATCGCTAATCGCCAGAGAGGAGGCAGAGAAAGAAGGAAACTAGGGTTTGAGAATTTTGGTCTGCGAAATGAAGAATGAAGAATGAGGGGCGGCTGCTAGGGTTTCTCAACTCAATATATATATATATATATATAGTGGGCGAAATGGCGCCGTTCTGGTGCACGGGTAATCCACCGGGCGGGTTTCGGGGCGGATAGACGATGACCCAGCCCCACCCGAAACCCAGCATTGACGGATACCGGATTCCCCGCCGCCCATTGGCGGGCCTGTGCAACCAGCCCGTTTGGCCATTCTCGGTCAGGCTTTGGGCGGGTATCCGCTAATGGGCCCCGACCTGCCATCCCTAGGCGAGATACGGTTCTATTGATATAAAAACAATGTAGGAGGTTGAGGTGCTTCCGATTTTGCAAACTAAAGAAGAAAAGAAGAAGACGGGTAGAAAAGTAAATATATAACTATGTTGGATGAGCGAGTAGCATAGAAGGGCATGTGTTGCATAGCGAAGCTCCCCCTATGTCTCCTTGTTATGGTCCCTCGATGACCGATTTTATACGAGCTGCTAATTCCTTAGATTATTTGATCCCACGTTGTGCTGAAGCATTTACCCGGAATAATGGGCGACGAGGACCTTTCAGATTTATCCCTTGAGGCATCACACTGTTAGATCGAATGAAGTTCGATCGGATAGGACCACCATATCTACTCTAATACTAAGCGACTTGGATTTTGATCCTTGCACCTCAAAGGAGTGCAAGGTTAACTAAGCTCCCATTCGAGTTGACAAAAGAAGAAATAGAGGGGATCAAGCATCACACATACAAAGTAAAATAATCTTATTAACACCAAATCATCGAGTTTACATAACCAAGACCCCTAGGGTTCACATACCTACACAACTAAAGGAACTAGCCACTGGGAAGGGTTCATGGGAGATTATCTATCAAAACGACGTCCCCAAAGAACCACTGAACTAAATAGACTTTCCCTAGAAGATCCATATTATTGAATTGTGAATCCTATAGAGAAGCAGGGGCCTGCACCACTGTTTCTCGCACCGATTCCTCCCTCTCGATTGGTTTTGCTCTAGGTTAGGTGAGTCACTCTGTCGACATATGCGGGTGCTAATCGGTTAACCACTAACCGATATGGGGTTAGAGGTAAATCAATAAGCAAAAAACTCATATCGATAACCGAACCGATAAGCATTATCGGTTATCCACCTTTTATCGGTTCGTTTAGTGGTTATTTTGGAGTTAACCAATGACTACTAAAATACATTCCAACAAGTACGGTTATACCTAATCAAACTAATAGCTTCGATTTTCTTTCATTAAATATAATAAATTGAAGCAATAACCACTAATAATACACAAATCATCATCAAGTTAGATTTAAAAAGTGTCGTTTAACAAGCATGACAATGTTCAAGCATGACAATCCACAAGCATGACAATGTTCAAGAGTACAAAGTACTAAATATTAAAGACGAATAATCATACAAATAATTCAAAATAATTTAACTACATTTATAGATTGTTAAGTAAAATAATGATTATAGAAAATAATATCAATATAATACAACACTCATCGTAATTGCGTAATTTAAATCAAAATCCCAATGCATGAAATAAAAAATAGTCAAACTTGTTCATCCAATTAGCGAGTACCAACTATCAAGACATCAAACACAAGAACCACAAGATCATCATCATTCACAAACATCAAAGAAACAAATATTACTAGAGTGAGGTTCGCTCTGACGTCTGCAAGGGGAGTTAGAGAGGGGTGACTTTCGGGTTCTAACTCTTAAACACATTTGAAACTCTTGCTGGAGGGTTGTTTGCAATGGGCAGTAAGAAGTTTGCAATTCCAACTTTGGTTGGTTTTCAATCTTGGAACTTTTTCCATTAACCAAAGTCCAAAACTATGTAGTTACACTAGTAGGCTATTAGCGGTTAACCACTAAGCAAAATACTGTTAAGCGAAACCGAACCAATAAGAAATTATGGGTTATCGGTTAACCACTAATTACCTTTATCGGTTTGGTATTTTTCACCGACAATCGACTAACCGTTTACCACCCCTATTGGCAGAGTGACGACCCTTCCTTGACCTCTCGTCTCCTCTTCCCGATTTCTATCTCTAAAGGCCTATTGATAAGCCTTTGACTAGGCTTTCTTGGGAGAGAACCCCATAGCTACTGCATTATCCAGTCAATTAGAAAGCTACAAACTCGTAGCTAGCAAATCAGGAAGCTCCCATGTCACTTTAATGACAGTTGTTCATGAAGAAAATAAGAAAGATAAATAAGATGAAGTAGGTCATTTTGAATGTGGATTATCTACTAGTATTAAACTTATGATGAATTTGATTTCGGTAGTGTTTCATGTGCTTTCAGCCCAAAGTATCCTAGTGTACCATCTTGTATGAGCGAGGGACGTCAAGGTCTAGCTGCTGAGATTCCGAATTTGAGTTGGATAAAGGACTAGAGAAAGTCATAAAATTCAGTCGACCTGAGCCCAAAATGGCGGCCTAGGTGCCATTTTTGGGAGTCTCCAAATCGAGCCCAAATCCGGAAGGAATATGCTAAACTTGGTGGTAAAGCCGAAAGAAACCTGAAAGAACTTGACATACGTGTTTTAGGCAAACTTTTCCTCCCATAAAACCTTATATGTAGATATATAAATAGATCCCTATGAGGGTAGAAGGTTTGCACCAATGATAGGTGGCATTAGAGGGTCGTTACTCTGCCGACAGAGTGACTTGCATGTTTTAGAGTGAAGCCAAACTCGAGAAGTAAATAGACGCCAGAATCACTTAAATAGTAACCTAGTCGCCAATTCCTTACTGTGGCTCCCGATTTCCAAGTCTTTCTGGGGATCTCGTTTCAACTGATGTTCCCCCTTAAACATGTCCCATATGAGCAGCTAGTTCCTTAGTTGCGGAGGTTGGTGAACCCTAGAGGTTCTTTGACTATGTAAACTCTTGATTTTGGTATAAATATGCGTTTAATTTCATCTATTTCTTATGTTTGATTTATATGCTACGTTTATCGTCGATTTGATTGTGCACATGAAACAAGAACTATCTTCAACGAATATATCCTCAAACCCAACTTTGTGGGTGGATGTGACAGGACAAGGTCATCCCTTACGAGTTCATTAATTGATAGAACTGTGTCACCTGCATGTCTCAAAGAATACATGTGTAGGGTCACAATCGTTGCCTACTAATTCTGGTAAATGCCACAACATATGGTAGGAATAAACCCAGCTGGATCAAACAACTCATATGCTGCCAGGATCATGATTTCGAGTCAAAGGAACTCTGGTATGAGTCATCCTACACAACACCTCACCCACATGTTTCCTTCACTAGTCAATAACTTAGATTTACTTTCTCACATTGCTTCTTCTCTTCTGTTTTATAAAATCAAGGAGAACTTCAACTCAGGAGACACCTCAACTTTCACATTCGTTTTTTAAACTCCATAGAACACATCCCTCACCACTTGAGTAAATAGCTGTGAGAAACCCTAGTAAATACGATCATGGTCGTAGGACCAGATAAATTTGCATCCATACTACAATGTGATTGGTGTCCGAAACTAATTCTGAAATTTGGTATGCAGTTTTACTTTCTCTTCAAATTAGTAAAATTAGTTATGCTATTCATAAACCAGTAATACATATAGCATTAGTAAACCATGTAATTACGTGTTTCATCTACATTTCATTCTTTGTTGATTGTTGGTTCCATTACAACAATAATTTATATGTGACAAATCAGAAAGATAAATAACATGAAGTAGGGCAGTTTGAATGTGGATTATCCACTAGTATTAAACTTATAATGAATGTTAAATAATTAGACTCGTGAATTATTAGGCAGCAAGCAAGTTGCAGACCAGAATAAGAATCTTTTCCCTTTTGCTTACTTTTATTCTTGAACAAAGAATAATAGCCCACTGAAGGCAACGTTGTTGTCGACAACGAGTCATTCAGCATCTTTTTTTCACAGGTCGTAGGTATTGGAAATTGTTTCTTCACTAGAAAATTTTAGGTTTGAACACTAATTAATGCATTTTGACTTTTTAATACTAATTCTATGATTCGTGGTGGTCTTTCTAGGCCGTGTATTCCTATGGACGCCGGTTAGAACTCCAAACTACACATCAGTTTTGTAGAGAAAGAACTAAAAGACCTAGATGTGGGTTTGGACGTTTGGTGGTTCGTTTTACAAACTCTTATCTCTTTTGACACTTCCTCCTTTGTTTAGCCATAAATGAGAAAACTATAGTAGAGAACGGTTCATTGGGTAATTGCCAGAATGAACTGATCCCCTTTTTTGAATCTGAATCGCTATTCGTCGCCCTACATTTTAAATTTTATCGCCCTAAAACATACTAAATTGACACATTTATCCCTATCCCTAATTTCTAATTGAACACTTTACAAGTAAACCCTAATTTTTAACTTCCCATTGCTGCTGCCACCGCCGCCCACCACCCCAATTCCGGAGGAGGTTTCTCCTCCAATCGCTGCTGCTCCTTGTACCGCCGCCGCCCCATTGCTCCTGCTGCGCGCGAGCAAGAACGAAGAAAGAAGCAGGAAGGAAGAAGTGATGGGACAATTCAGTGGCCATTTCCTTTGCTTTTGCTGCTTTGGACTCTAATGCCCATTGCTTCTTTTGCTGATATGATTAGTACAAGTTAGAGAAAATTTTCACATGGTGATAATAACGACGATTGGGCCTCCATTGAGCTGGTCGGCTCCAGCAACAAGTGGATATATGTATTTGTTTTAGGGTTTAAGTGTTTGAAAGACACAAGAATAAACCAAGGACATTAGAGTAAATTAAACACAATTAGGGCGATGAATAAGAATTTTTAGGGCGACGAATAGCAATCCCCTTTTTGAATGTGGCTGACGTGTCTTCAAAAGTGGAACACATAGTCATTGCTTTCTCAATCGCTTAAACATTTTTTTAATTGACACGAGTGTTGAAGTGTACGTAGTTCTTATTGATTCCACATCGACATCGTCCTATGCCAATCCTCGCACCGTAGTCCTCAACTCAAGGGATATCTTAATTATTTTTATCTATTTGTTTTATCAATTTACTTCTGAAGTATGTTTTTTATATAACAAAATTCCTCAATTATTATGCCACATGTCAATTTTTATTATTATATTTCCCAAGTGTCCAGACTCCAGAAGCACATGGAATGTCCTGTCGTTAACTCAACACTCCCCGATAACAGAATGTCCCCCAACCTGTAAAATTTTTAAAAATTTAACCCAAACATTCGTCCCCAATCGAATCTCAAATTCTCTGGTTAAATAAAATTAACCTCCATTATAGACTAATCGAAGGTTCAACCGTCACACTGTAAACTCTGTCAAGAATCTGGTAAGCGACAGCGAAAGAAAACCATCCAGTTGAAAAAGCTCTCCCACTTCCCCCTCCCAATTTTCTCCTCCACCTCACATTTTCCAATCCAATGGAAATCCCCTGCTTCGGAATCGCTTTTTCCCTCCTCCTCCTCCTCCTCCTCCTCCACGCGCCTCTCCCCTCCTCCGCCGTCCCCGACAGCATCTTCATCCTCGCGGGGCAGAGCAACATGGCCGGCCGCGGCGGCGTCCACAACAACACCGCCACCGGCGCCGTCCACTGGGACGGGATCGTCCCGGCCCAGTGCGAGCCCAACCCATCAATCCTCCGATTCAGCAAAGACCTCGTTTGGGTCCCGGCCCACGAGCCGCTCCACGCCGACATCGATTCCACCAAGACCAACGGGATCGGGCCGGGCATGCCGTTCGCCAACGCGGTTCTGACCCAGGACCCGGATTCCGTCGGGGCGGTGGGCCTCGTCCCCTGTGCCGTTGGCGGGACCACCATAAGTCAGTGGGCGAAGGGCGGGGCTTTGTACGGCGAGATGGTGAGGAGGGCGACGGCCGCCGTGGCGGCCGGCGGCGGGAATCTTCGGGGCCTGATTTGGTATCAGGGGGAGAGCGATACGAATAGCAGAGAGGACGCGGAGGGGTATAGGGGCAGATTGGAGACGCTATTTTACCATGTGCGGCAAGATTTGCAGCTGCCGGCGTTGCCAATTATCCAGGTAATATATGGGATCCGATCGGAGTTTTTTTATGGTGCCGGCCGGTTATTTACTTATTTTTGAATAATTTTGGTAGTTGTTTAGCCTATTATTAATGGTGTTGATCCAAAGAATTTTAATTGGAAATAATTCTATTTTTTTTATGTGCAGTATTATTGGACCGATGGCTTGAGTTTTTGTTTGTTCATATGGTTGTAGAAATTGCGGACTAGTTTGAAATTTTGTAAATGCAATTATTGAACTTGGTTAATATCATTTAAACTCCTTCTATTATTTTTTTCGCTAATAACACATTTTATTATAATCAGATATTTTACAAACACGCCCATTTGTTGTTTTGGTTTATACATTTTTTTAGAAATTTTACTCAAATATATTATTATGGAGGTCGATCCAGAGCACATTTTTTGTAACTTATATACCACATGAAAATTACTATCATGACAATGGAGTTACGAACAATTAATTAATCTCAATCTTATTAGTCCAACTTAAAAGCAAAATATAAGAATTTTAAACAGGCATTCATCCTAAATATAACATATGGTTATTCTTATACACGGGTCAAGAATAATAATTTAATGTATAAACATTTTTGTTTAAAAGTATAATAAATATGTGATTTTGTTAAAATGGCATAGTACGAGGACTAGCAATATAACTAACCCAACTAACAAAAGATTCTCATTTATCCCATAAAAAAACAAAAGATTCTCATTTAATTGAATTTGAGCCCAGTCCGGTTTTTGGGTTGAACCGAACAGAGCCAGGACGATGAATTTCATTTTATAATAACTTTTCAGGTGGCTTTGGCGTCGGCGGAGGGTCCGTACAAGGAGACGGTGAGGGAAGCACAGCTGGGAATCAGCATTCCGAACTTGGTGACCGTGGATGCCGACGGGCTGCCGATCCAACGCGACGGACTGCATCTGACGACGGCGTCACAGGTGGAGTTGGGTCACATGTTGGCCAACGCGTTTCTAAAGACCAATTTCCGGAGTTCTCCGATCAGAACTAGCCGGGGAAGCGGCGTCGAGGGCAGCAGCAGCAATTCGCCGGCAATTTCAGGGGTTTTGACAGTTCCGTTGTTGATGTCAGCGCTTGTTTTTAGTTTGAACTATATGATTATGGCATACTCTGTGGACTTGTAGCGGTGTGTATTATTTATTGGGAATTATATATGTTGGGAGAAAAGAAATATCTAATTTGGATTGGAGGATGATGTCAACCCTTAAAATATGCTGACGACCTATATCTATAGAACATATGATAAACTGGTGGCAGCGTTCTAGGATCACTTTCGTTTGAATGGATAACAAAAGTAGCCAAATCGCAGGTGAGTTACAGTAATTCGGAGTTGTAGTCCTAAAATTATTAAAAAAATAGTTAAAATTATAAAAATAATGATTATAACTATAATTATATCAAAGTTGTAGTTCTACAATTAAAAAAAAAAAATACAACAGAAAAACAATGACTACAACTGTGATTGTACTACTACAACTCATGTTAAACATGGTGCTAAACCCCTTATGGTTAGCAAGCTAACCGATCCCAAAACATTCATTTGTTTCATTTTGACATCTACACAATTCGGTTAGATGATATCTTTCAATATGGAAAAAAGCAGCGTTTGTGAAACCATACTTGGTACAAAAAAAATTAATACGAGATTTCCGACACCGCTTTAATAATTATAATCGATACTCATTCATTAGGCGACACCCCTCTTCAACAATCCTGGGTCCGCCACTGATTCTCTAAATCAGTAGATGGTCTTTAAAAATAGGAAATGGTTGAACCACGATTCAACCATAATTTTGAAGAAAAAAAACCCTATCACAAACTTTTCTGATACAACCTTCAATACGTTTTTACCATATTTGGATAAGTACTAGAACTAATTTGAAAGTTAGTATTCATATTCACATAATATCTCTTAGAGCCATCCACCATCGACCATTATTCCACCTTTTTGACAACTGACAACATAGAAACGAATTGACATATGGATTTCTAAATAAATTGTAGTACCCCAAATTTCTAATTTGTGTATTTTAGATTCATCACCATACAAAACTTTTTGTGCAGTAGAACCCATACAACCATATCGCAAGAATCATCACAGTTCTACCTCAATTCCTGACAATTAAGGTAGGGTTGGGTACAAAGTACTAGACCAAGATTAGGGTTGTAACTAAAATTCTAGTAGCCACCGTGGCTACATCACTATATGTCATTTTTTTTAATCTCATGGTTAAGATTGCTTCAGGGTAATTTTGGAAACAAAAAAGAGTTCACACCCGATTATTCTATATATTCTATCCAAACCCTAATTCTACGCTGCCCTTCCTCCAACTAAACCCTACTTCATCAACGCCGGCCGCCAACTGTCGGCTGCCCGCACTCCATCCCACTCTCCTCCGCTGCCCTCTCTCCCCTCCGTCCACCTCCCTTCGCCGACCATCCCTCCCGATCCTCTCTCTCTTCCCATCAATTCTTCCTCTGCAGGAGACCCTCCCCACTACTATATACCTAAAACCTTATCCCCTTCCTCTCTCTTTCCATCCATTCTTCCTCTGCAGGTAGAGCTGGAAGTTTGGTACCGGTATTTGGGATATACCGAATACCGTACCGAATTTGTCTATATTTGGTATTACCGAATACACGTATTATTTTGTGGGACTAGGATTGGGATTGAATTTCAATTGTTATTCGGTATTAGGGATTACGGGATTGAGATCGGTATATATCGAAATACCGTTAAATACCGAAATATAAACTAGTGTGTATTTTATCCTCTCAACTAGACTCTCTCATTCACTACTACGCGACCCTCAACTACCAAAAGTGTCATTTAATTATACATAGATCATTACATCACTATTTCACACTAATATTAGTCGTCTCTCAACCTCAAATTCGTCAAATTAAAGATTACCAATTACAAGAACTTGAGATGTTAGCTCTAGGCAACTCAAGACTATTTGCTTAGTCTCTTTGCCCTAAATTAAACAATAAAATCTAATTTATATATTTAATTATTAATTGAAAAGGTAATTAATTATGTATTCAATAATACCGATTGGGATACCGAAATTATTTAGGGATTGGGATTGGGATACCGAAATTATTTAGGGATTGGGATTGATTTTAAGGTGTAATTCGGTATTCGATATTTCAGTATTTGGTATTGGGATACCGATACCGTACCGATTTTCACCCCTATCCGCAGGAGACCTCTCTCTCGTTTTCTTTTATTTCACTCTCTGTCTCTTCACTTTTGCAAAAAAAAAAAAATCCAACGAGAAAACCTCTCTCTCTCTCTCTCTCCTTACTTCTGTTCTTCTTCAGCAAGACCAAAATGACGGCTGGCAAAAAGAGATTTTTTGGGGAACTCGACTAGAGAAGACGACGTCTGGTTTTTTATTGCTATGTACTTTTTTGCATTGGTAGTGTTTTTTTCGTAATGGTAGTGTTTTTTCGCATTGGTATTGATTATTAGGTAATGGTATTGATTATCATGTAATGGTATTGTTGTAATCTGCAATGGTAGTTGTTAATAAGTGGTAGTGGTAGTGTTTCGTGTAGGCTGCAGTGGTAGTTGTTAACGTTTTGGTATTGGTTTCTTATTTTTTTCTTCCGCAAAGATATTGAATTTTTGTGAAATGATATAGATTTATATTGGTAGATTGTTTATATTGATAGTTTTCGTGTAATGGTATAAATTTACTTCTGCAATGGTATTGATATTTTTCAAAGTGGTAGTGGTTGTCTAATGGATTGGTAGTGATTTCGTGTTTTTTTTTTTTTTTTTTTGCAGATAGATTGAGAAAAATAAGAAAGGGGATCTAACTGGAGATTACGATAGTGAGAGAAAGAAAGAGACTTGTAATTAATAGATTTTTGTAACTACCTAAAATGAAATTTATTAAAAAAATTAATTAATACAATTTATTTTTCCATATCCAATTTACTCTTAGTAATCACCGTAACTTGTCCCCTTTCACTTTTTATATTTTTGCTACAACTAAATAGTGTCATTGTACATTATCGCATTGGAAAATTGATATGTATCACATGAGATGATGATACATTAATTCAAACCCAAAGTCCAATTCAATATATTCATGCCACTAGGCTTTGTTAGCCAAACAGTGTTGGCGGATCTGGAAAAATCCGGATTCTCCCCTTGCCTCAATTTATAAAGGTCGTTACTTCCATCATGGTTCATTGCTAGATGCCGATATAGGTTCAATCCCTCTTGGGGATGGCGCAGTATACTGTTTGGAAGAGATCTCCTTCTCCAAGGGTTAAGATGGCAAGTTGGAGATGGGCAAGATATTGTAGCCTTCAAAGACAAATGGGTAGTTTCAGAAAAACCCATCACACCTCTGGTCCGCCTCTCGAATATAACTAATTCCCCTAGAGTCTCCTTCTTTATTAGAGAAAGTAGAGGAGAGTGGCATATCCTAAGGCTCCAATATTGTTTTGATCCTATAACGGTTGGCCTTATATGCAAAACCCCACTCCCCAGATGCCAATAAAGAGATACGAGAGTTTGGCATTTTACAAAAAGTGGCTCCTATACAGTCAAAACTGGATACCATCTGGCTTTAGAAATCTCTTTAGTCTCAAGTCGAAAGCCTTTGATCCAAATTATCGATCCTCCTATCTCGAAGAAAACATGGGATATTCTAATTCCTCCGAAACTGAAATTCTTTATTTGACAGTGTCTAAGAGTGATATTACCAACAATAGTAACACTTAAGTCTAGAGGGGTTAATTGTCATATGCGATGCCCTGTCTGCTGGAGAAGTCCAGAAAGTATTGAACACTTGTTCTTCATATGCCCCTTGGCCACTAGACTGTGGTCGTTTATGGGCCTAAATGACTTCATTACCTCGGCCCCGACTGTGAATTTCAGTCTCTGGTGGCGACATGCTATGCTCTCTGAGCACCCCCAAACCCATGTTCTCTTATACGTTTGCGTATTGTGGAGAATCTGGAAGTCTCGAAATAAGGTGGTATTTGAGCATTTCCAACCTCATGCCCAGTCTCTAGCTCGTCAATGTTTTTTCCAAGTTCGTGAAGTCTCTTCCTCTCTGCCTTCGGTGCCTGCTCCTCCTCTCCAGCCCTCAAGTTCTCGCCTTCCCTCTTGGATCCCTCCTCCTGATGGTTTTCTGAAGATCAACTTTCATGCTGCTTTTCGTGCTTCCGGGTGCTCGTCTAGTCTAGTGGTTCGTGGTACAGACGGGCATGTGGCTTTGGAAGTAGGGTCTCATCACCACGACATTGCTGATCCCTACCTTGTAGAACTTCTTTCTGCTAGAGACGCCATCTCCCTTTTGGTCTCCAAATCCCTTCCTCGTGTCATGATCGAAGGAGATCCAGAAGTGGTGATTCGTCAGCTTCATCAAGGTGTTTCTTCAGATTCGCTCGGAGGACCGGTGCTTCAGGATTGCTTCCTTCTCCTGTCTTCAGTCTCTGTCTCCTTAGAGTTTAGGGCAGTTTCCCGAAGGCCCAGAAAGCCCTGTTACTTTCTCCTCTTGAGTTATGTTCCTTCGACTTTGTTGGGTGGCTTCTCGAATGTAATGGGTTGGGAAGGGTCTTGGTAGATTGTATAGTTTTCTCTATTGACATTTCTTGAAGAAAAAAAAGAGTCAGAGAGAAGTATACATTAACTCTCATTCATGTACTTTCTACTCTCAATATCACTGCCTGTTTTTGTATAAATAAGTTGATTTTATAACCTTTCCCTACTCAAATCGGGTCCTTAAATAGTGATAAATATGGAGGTTTGAACATACGCTTTTTAGTAGCACCAGTCTGGCTCTCAAGGATATCAACCTAGCATTCCAAGACGATAATATCGTGTGTATTTTAGCAATAACAGGATGCCAAATGCTGGTAAGTTTGGCTTTACTCCCATAGGTAGACCTAGATAATTTAATGGGAAAATAAGTGTTTGTACCATCTAGCTCCGGTATGAACAATGATATTTGTTGGTGTGGGGTTGACTCACGATCCGTTCTTCTGATCTCGTCGGGAGGGAAGGAACCTGTGAAAGAGCCGGGGATGCCCCCCAGATTAAGCTCCAACGATCAAGTCAGTATATTGTGTAAAATGAGTTGAGAGAATAGATAGAGAGATAAAGTGTAGAGAGATAGTGGAAAGTGGAAAGTGAGGGGAGAGGAAAAGTCACTTTATTTGGAGGGCTTCAATCCCTTATATACTTGTAGCTAGTATCGAGCGTCGCGCACCGCCGTTGTGCGCCCTATTACTTAGTCTAAGCACAGAGTATTTCAGTAACACCCCCAACAATTGCCCCCCCCC